TCTCCCTGCCCTGGCTGGCCTGTCTCCATTCCCTCATCCCTGCCTTCACTGCTGCCTGCCCGGCTATACAATCTTCTGGGGGATACAGCTCTCCTCCTCCTGTCTTGTTCCCATTCTTCCACTGACGGGTTGTATCCATCCATTGTGAGGAGTGAACACTTGTTTTTTTTCTCCACAGACCCTGGCAGCCTGTTCCATGCCTTCACCGTTGCTTCCAGCCTGCTGCCTGTCAGTGGGCAGCCTCAGGGTAGGGATGTAGGGATGCACAGGAAGGAGCTGTCTGCATCCCCTCTCCCCAGGCCTGTCAGTGGGCAGCCTCAGGGCAGGGATGTAGGGATGCATAGGAAGGAGCTGCCTGCATCACCCCTGCCCAAGCTTAGCTTTGGGGTTGGCGGAATAGGGAGAGAAGGACTTGGGAACAATGAGAGTGCAAAATGTTCCCATTTTAGTTTTTCCAGTGCTGCCTGTTCGTGCTCCCCACCCCAGGACTTATCCCTGGTATTGCCAGCAGTAGCCCGGGAGCCCCTGATCCTGCTCTGTAATCTCCTGGTGTCAGCCAGCAGCTTGGGCCTTCTTGTAAGCGCCCTGACGGTCATGGGGAAGGAATGTTCCCCTAGCTGCATGGGGAAAGGTCACCACAGGCAAAGGGGACGCTGGGGACAGGCGAGTGTGCTCCCTTGCTCCCCATTGCCGATGAGAGCAATGCCAGTCAGCATGGAGCTGAAAACATTCTGGCTTTAAAAAAAAGGTTCAGGAGGTTAAATATTTTGGGGAAGGCCACACTTCCTTTCACAGGTCAGATCTCACAGCAGATGCTGTGCTCAGGCAAAGTCCAGGAGGACATTTCCCTGCGGGTTTCATCGCTTTTTTTAGCGATGGAGGTTGTTTGCCGTTGAGTCTGCATCTGCTTGTCTCACTGAAGCAGTGCCCAGGACAGTGTTGTTCTGAATAGTAGTTGGGCTGAGCACTCTCTTCCCTTCCCATCCCAGGCCTGCCAACAAACCTCTCCCCTGAACTCAACTCGGAAAGAAAGCTGTGACTTGTGGTGGCTGCGGAGGGATTAGCATCCAACATTAAGGGCTTAACTCTTCATCCCTGCCAGCGGGGGTTTCAAGTAACACCACTGTGCCTTTTTCTTCCACCCTCAACGAGTTTGTATCCTGCTTTAATAACATCCTTTACACACCATTCTCCAGGCTGGGTTTTCTAAGCTGGAGCTTGCTCCTGGTGCTTTGCTTTGAGAGTCTGGCGTGTTGGCTGAGGCTGGTGACATTGATCAGGGTGAGAGCAGAGCGGAGGAAGGAGGAGGAATTTCTAGGTTGGGCTCACAAACCGAGTTTGTAAAAATTCTCAGCATGTTAAGGAAAAAAAAAGATAATCTGGTCCTTGGTCTCTAGGTTATGTTTGCCTCTGCTGTGGCTGAGCTCATGGAAAATTGCAGCTTAGCTCCTGCGCTCAGTGCCAAGATTAGTAGGTTTAAAAACTAACCGATAACATCTTTGTAACTTGGAGTCATTTCTTTTAAGCCTGATGATTCTTCCAGCCTGGATTTTGGAGCTTTCCTGGAGATCCACGTGAGCCCAGCAGGACGACGGTATCAGCATTGAAAAAAATCACCATGTCACCTTCAAATACCCAGAGAAAGGAGGCTGCTGTTCCCCAAAGTCCTGAAGGGTGTGTGCTGTGATCCTTCTCCCAGTTCCCAGCCAGATACACAGCACATGACAGGCGCTTTGCACGTAACTTATAATAATCACTGGTTTTATTTATTAAAAAATTACAATAGAAAAGTACCTTTAAACACATTTCCAAAAGCGGAGTAGACAATGTGGATGCTTCTCTCCTCTCCACAAGACAAAGTACAGGAAATAGTTTGCTAGAAGAGTCAGTCCATCACTTGGGAATGCTGATATCATTCCTTTTAGAGCCACTCAGGGGTTTGTCTTGGAATTGATTTCTTCTCACGTCACCTGTATCAATCCCATTTTTTACAGAAGACCCCAAGAGGACAGTTTCCCACCGCACCACTTCACCCAACACCCTGCCTCGGCTCCAGCAGCTGAAATCTCAGCCTAACCACGGAATAAAAGGAGGGAGAAAGAAAAAGGTTATGATGCATTTAACAAGGCCACGGGCACCCCATGTCTTCAGCGCAGCTGGGAAACCAGCTATGGCAAAGCGCAGTGTGCCCTGCAGCGGGGATGGGGTTGGGGGGAGACGCAATGAAAGGAGAAGTTTTGCACCTCCTTTTGCAAGAAACCAAAATCTCTTTGAGGTTTTGGTTTGCTTTGCTCTTCCCAAATTCCTCCTGGAGCAAGGAGAGGGAGAGACTGGTATGTCAAGTGGTCTCTTGCCCCTCAGCTTGCTCAGGACTCGTGCCCAACCTCGAGTAAGCTGGCAAACCAATGGTTTGCCATTTGTTTTCTCTCATACAGCAGTTTACGTTGCCTGTAACAACTTCAAGCAGTCACGGCAGGAGGAGGAGGAGGCAAATTGTCACCTTGCTACATATGTGGGCTGTCTCTGCCCATCCCTGATCTGAGCCCGTTGTACCATGCCAAGGCTTTGCACAGCAAGCTATTAACATAGCCCTAAGGTAAAAAACCAAAATCACCATAAGAAAGTTTCTGATTGTCTTGCCTGGTTGTCATTTGGTACAACTGGGAAGAAAACAGTAATACTGTCAGTGTCTGCAGATGACTTGCCGATGCAGCCAGAGCACAATTCCTGTGCCAGAGGGAGCACAATTCCTACACACCCAAATTGTGCATCTTGACATCTGCACGCACGTGAGCATCATGCCTTTGACATGCAGTTGACAGGGCAAGGGGATACAGACTCCTAATGACACGCATTCAAAAGTCAAGCACAAAACCTGTGGTCTGACCTGGTGTAAGAGTGTTCTGTTTGGTACAAAAATACTTGCTCTTGTTTTGCCTTTTTTTTTGTTGTTTTTTTTTTTTTTGTTTTGTTTTGTTGGGATTTTTTTTTTAGTCTGCTTTCCTATGGTTCTGTTTGAAGAGACTTTTCAAACACTACAGCAATGCCTGTCAAACCATGCTTTCAGAAGTAAC